AAGCTCAGGGTTTTAAAAACCTTGGTGGCATCGGTACGCGACACGTAAAACCTGCATCAGACTACAACTCAGGGCCAAAAGGTGCAACTTGATCATGCCTTTCAGAACGTACGGTCTAAGAACGCACGATTTCAGTACGTACGAAAGTTACGTCAGAACGTCCGTGCCGATGCAACTAAGTTGATGATGGTATTCACACAACTCCGGCTGACCTCGGAGAGAAGTAAACTGGTTTCTGCTGCCACGTGTGGTGCAACCTGTTGAGCGTGCCACGACAGGGCTCCCAGGGTGGCCCTTAGCTGCGTCTTTTCTTTTTCTGTTGTCGCGGCCTCTTTGTCGCGACGGCGAGTCCCACTCAAAGGAATCTCCTGAAGGTGGTCCTCCACATATTGAGTCTGGCTCAATTCGAAACCTTGATCCACTTGACGGACTTGTACTCCGCACTGAGTGAACTCGCCGTGTTCCCAATCGCCCCACTTGAATTTCTGTTTGATCTTGTTGAGGATTTCCTGCCAGAGGCTATCCTCTTCTGAGCCTCCAAATAAAAAGTCGTCTACGTGTCCCGAAATGAGGCCTCGAAGAACGCCTTGGGGCCTCCAAAGCCACAGGCAAGGATCTGACCAGGCCCTTTCGAGCCCCAAATTCTGAAGAAACTCTGAGACTGTCTTGTACCATTCCAGCGGCGCGTCCACTAAGCCGTAACACGCCTTCTTAAGGCGTGTCACGGATCCTTTGGCTAATCCCATTGCCTCACAGATCTCTTCACAAGGAATGCATAGGAGTCCCCCTGTGTAGGGACGCCCTTGCAAGAACGCTCCGGACACATCTCCTTTATACACTCTCCACTTTTTGTTGGCACACATTTGTAAAAAAACATTGTCGGGTCTGACGGCTCATCACGGGTGATGTTGTGGCTCTATGTTCATAGGCCGGGTCTTGATACCCCAATAATACGGCTCTCGCTTTGGCCTTACGGCCACCAGTATCCAACTGTTTCCACGTTAACACCCACCGCATATTGATGGCTGTATTCTTGTCCGGCTTCAGGTGCTCTGGCAGAGCCTCGAAGGCCTCGGCAGCGATGAAATTCTTGACTTCTGAAAGTTTCGCCTGTCGGAACTCCTGCTTCTCTTGCTCGGATAAACGACGCTCGCAGACCTCTACAGCACGCTTCTTCAAAGCTCCCACAAAGAACCCTGACATGTTGACCATGGCCTTCTTGAAACCCCTCGAGCTCTCAGGGAGCTCGACCTGGACTTCCACCGCAGCCTCAGTAGACTGCCACCATTCGCCTTTGTCGCCCCAGGAGTGGGCGGCCACGTCGTGCCACCAGCAGTGGCCCACCTCTGTCGTATCCGTAGACAAGGCCTCTCCGGTACGGGGAATAGCTCCTGGGCGCGGTGCGTGCGCGCCCTCCATTTCCTCGTCGACGCCCTCCTCGATGATGGGGCGTTTCCTCGTGATCCTCCGCCGTGTAGGTTGCTCCTCTCGCTCAGGGTCTTGGGCCCTGAGCCACTCATCATAATCCGGAAGCTCCCGGTTGCATCCTCAAACTGGTTTCCGCCAATCTCCTGAGCCACCTTGGTGTAGGTCCAGGGTACTTTGGTATCCTCGGAAAGGGCTTCTATCAGCTCTTTTTTTTGTGACGCCAGTCGCAGTTGTTCCGGGGCACACTTGATCAATTGTCGGCCCCGCACCAGCCACACCGAGCTTCCCGGTCTCAGTTCCCCCGAGTCGCTTCTTCTGGTCTCAGTAGCCAGCACACGCGCCGGCCCCAGGAATCGACCCTTCTTGGTTCCAGGAGCATGCTTTCCACGGCCAGACTCCTGGCTGCGCCAGAAGTACACCAGTTGTCCTGGATGGAACTCTAACTTCCGCCTCCCTCTGGAGTTCTGCGCTCGAAGTAGCCTTTGTTGTGCCTGCCAGTCGCAGTGCGCTTTCTCAGCCTGGGCTTGGCGGGCCAGGTTCCTGGCGAATTCGCCCTCGGCGTTCTCTATCTGAAGCTCGTCAGGAGTCCCATTGGAAGCATTCACAAGCCGACCTGTGACATCCACACTTCGGCCAAAAGCATGCTGCAGCGGGGAAAACCCTCGAATCATGTCCCGCTGGTTGAAGGTTCTAACCGCCACTGAAAGAAGCTCTTCCGGTGAAGTTTCCGGATCCTCTTGGCACGTCTTAGACATAACCTCCTTCAGACCCTGAACAGCTTGTTCACAAGCTCCAATCTGCCAGTGAGCCTCCCCTGGAATCACATCCAAGAATATGTGATTTCTGTCGCAGAAATCAACGACCGCCTGGCTCCTGAATGACCCCGCGGGGTCCAATCGCAAACACTGGGGGTTTCCGAAATATTGAGTCCATCCCTCCATGAGGTAATGCAAACATGTTGCTGCCGAGGGGGTCTGCTTGGAACCTTTGCACAGGATTCTAGCTGCTCTGTACCTCGAGCCCTCATCAATGATCACCATGAAAGCCACGTGTTCTCCCGTGACCGGGTGTTTCCAATTCCCAATGTCCGCTGAAATCGTGGCCCACTTAGGAGGAAGGGGCTCCAGGGACGCCACATGTTGAGGGGGCACGCGTCGCCTCTCGTCACAAATACTACACGTGAAAGTCTTAGCAAGCTCAAAGTCCCTGGGTGCGGCGTTGCGGCGTTTGAGGGCTTGGTGAAGGTGCCTCATACTACCGTGGCCGGTAGCAGCGTGAAGAAGATACAAGTATCGCTTGATTTTCTCATCGTTCTTTTCTCCCTCGTTCTTGAACTTGTGTTTCCAAACCCCTGATTTCTGAATCACATGCGCTTCCTCCATCTTCGGAACCTGAAACCCTTGCTCAAGAACCTGTGTCAAAGCCTCGTTCTCAAGTTGCTTCCAACCTCGGCTTACGAAGTAGGTTATCACTATGCGCTGCCCAGTCCATGGACAAGTAGCATGCCACTCCTTCGGATCGAACTGCACCACTCGGTGCTGCGTGGCCCGGGCCTCTCCCATGAGGCGTCGTCCATCGGGATGAACCTGAGCCAGGGCATTCTGCGACTGTTCGGAGAGCTGTGGGTTGTGAATCCACAACTCTCCTCCCTGGTAGTTGCCTAATCCTATCAAGTAGTTAGGATGATGGCCACTATTGTTCACGTCGCGATGAACAGGCATCTGATTGTTCCTACTTATCGTCAGAGAGGTCCACTGGGCCTGTCGAGGAAGGTGTTTCTTGCCGAAAGCATTCAAATACGCAGTCAATTGAGGGTGCTTGGCAGAAGCGTTCGTAGTGCCGTAGAAGGCACCGTGGCTGTACACCCCCAAGGTCAAGTACTCCGCATCCCTGTTAACCAAGCTTCGGTTTCGGTTGGGGCTCTTCATGGGGGCCAAACTAAGGAGCTCTTCACAAGCCTTGAATGAGAAATCCTTGCGCGCTAGCAGCTGTCGGGCACGTTCTTCTACATTGCTGTGCATCACACTCCCTGCTTCTTGCCTATTCGGGCTACTACTCTCTGAAAGGACCTGGGGCACCTCTGCCTGGGACACATCCTGCCCTGAAGCCTGTCCTACGTGTCCCTCTGAACCACCCTTACCTTCAGAAAACAACCCCTGATCCCAACACATCGGGCACTTCTGTTCTGGCAAGTTGGGTATCTTCAAGTCCTGACAGAAACACATGTCTCCAGCTCCAAAGAGCTCGGGGAGCTGCGTCGACCCTAAGCACTCCTGTTGAACATCGCTGTGCTCAAGCTCCTGCAGCACTCCTTTTGCCACCCGTTTGGCGAACTCTACTGTGTAGCGACTGCTAGCAGTGCCTACCTTACCAGTACAAGGAGCATGCTGGTAGTTCTTGGGACAGCGACACGGAAGGTGAAGGAGTCGGGCCAGTCGTGGGTGTGTGGTGATCATGCGCCACCCTTTCTTAAGAAACTTACCTTTAGGCGAGTCCCGAAGATTCACAGCACACCCTTGAGTCACCACTTCCTGAAGCTTATACTTTTCCTTCAACCTCTGAACAATCGGAAGCCTCCACGCCAACGACCTCTCACTCATCTCCCAAACCGCATGAATACCCCTCTGAAGACAATACTGAAACACCACACAGCAGCTGGTATACACGCGTCGTGCTTCGAGCCGCTTCTGTCCTAGTGCTTCCTGTTGCTGGGGGCTTCGGTTTTGGAGGTTCTGGAGAGGACTGTGGGGTCCTTCGGGAGGAGATAACCAAACACAGACCGGTTGTTCAAGATTGATACGCTCCAACACGAGTTGCAGCCCTTCCTTGGTTCCTAGATCACAGGCGTTCCATAGTGAACAGCGAGTGGCTGCGGCTTCATACCCCGCGGCTCGTTGCACTTCTGTCGTCAAAAGGCTGTCTGAGTCGCAGCACACCTCCATCAAGAGAGTTCTCTCCTGAGACACCAAACCCTGAAATAAGCTAGGGACTAAGGACCAGGCCTTCTCTTCTAAGGCTTGCGCGGCAGCACAATTAAGCTCGCAACCTTGCGGTTTAGCGGAATCGACCTCTCCCTTGATGGTGGAAGACTCCTGCTGCATCATGGCCCCCTCAAGGCTCACTTCTTCGGCATGATGTCCACCTTCTCGAAGCTGCCGTGGGTCTCCATGTCCTCGTCCTTGTGGTTCACGCGGCGGGGACGTGATCCACGACGATCGCTCTGTAGTTCCGCCACCTCGTTGCGTAGGGCCTGGATGGCCGCCATCATCTCGTGCTGCATGGCAGCCGTCGATCCCTCGGACCGAGCACTCGAGGCAGATGCTCCGCTCTTCATCACGGTCTTCTGGTAGCCCTCTCGGCGACCCTTCCAGGCTGTGGCCTGGATGGTTGGCTCCGGATCGTCGCTGGTCTTCGCCAGCCACTGTGCCAGGCGATGCAACCGAGGATTGGCCTGTCCCTCCCGCGAAGTCTGAAGAACCCAGCGGCAGTACTCGGGCTCCTTCTGCTTGACCTCGGCATAACTGAGGGACCCGTTGACTCCAAAGCCGACCGGATCGGTAGCGTCGGCCACAGCCAAGTCGTAGACCTTGTTCATCGCCTGGTTCGTCAGCTGCTGCATGGTGTGGTTCTCGTTCACATTCAAGCGCAGCTGCTCCTTCATATAGGTCACCAGACCACTCTTGCGTTGGCTGGCTCGGGTCATTTCCTGCGTCATCTTTTGGTAGTCGCTGACCATGGTGGCCGGGCCCGCATCGGGGTCCTGCCCATTCTCGCTCATCAAAGTCTGTAGCTGCTGTTGCAACTCCAGCTTCCGTGTGGAGACCACTGCCGTGCCCCCAAACTTGTGGATCTCCTCGACCAGCTGGGCCTTGTTCATGCGGCTCAGGTTGGGCATCGTGAGTAGTAGTCGAGGTTGAGGCCACACGCTTGAGGGATTCTTGCTTGGGATCTCTGAGAAGGCTGCTGGAGTGATCTGACGACATTGTCACTGGAAGTGGAAATAAACTACTGCACCTATCAGCATGCACACAAGTGCGCTCACAACCCTGGGGGAGCTGGTTATGTACATCTGACACAAACCCTTTGCCTGCAAAACTTTCGTCCTCCTGCTGCGGGGCAGGCGCTGTGCGCTGCAAGAGGAGTTGTCCCTACTCGTCGTGCTGAATCAGCTCCTGCAAACTTTCCATCGCCTTGACTAACGGAAAAAGACTGCGCGTACAAATCGTCGCTAAGAGAAAGAAGCTGATGCCCCGTGGCCGAGCGCTCCAGGCGCACGGCCCGTCTGGGGTCGAGGCGACGGAAGATTGCAAGATCTTGTTCAAAATCGATGATTGCGCCGAGACTGCGCAACGAGTGCACCGACAACAAAATGGGCCCCGACCCTCGGTCGAGAGTATGTACACGGAGCCTTCCGGGATTTCCCTGGGCCCGCAAGCGAACCTCAGCTGTGCTGATGCATGTGTCTGTGCTGGAATTGCCGAAGGAGAAGGTGGGCTTGTCGTTGCGGTCGATGGATATGATGCCGTTCTCCCCGAAGGACTTCTGATTCTGGCGGCTTAGGGCCTCCAGGGCCTCCACACTCGCGATGGTACGAGTGGCACCTCCATCCACGACAGCCTTCCCTGCAAGAACCGCCTCTGCTGTACTCACTCCTGCACTCAAGGCTTGCTCCTGCGGTTCCATCGACTGATTGGCGTAGCACACGAACGGCGCCGACTCCTCAGCCTGATGGGCTTCTGCCTTGTCCTTCTCCGGACACGTGGCAGTCCGGTGGCCCTTTTTCCCACACCGGAAGCAGGTGATGTCGGCATCGCTCCTGGAGGTCCCGCCTGAGCTTGAAGGGGCGCTGCCACCTCGGCCGCGTCCACCTTTGCCACCGCGGCCGCCAACTCCACCTGAACCGGTCTGGTAGTAGCGCCTGGATAAGCGCACCTCGGATTGGCGCGCCCGTGCTTCTTTCAAGGTCCTGCGGCCTTGTTGGATAGCCGCCATTGCTGCTTGGGCGGAAGTCTCCGCCTCATCCATGATGACGAGGCCCTCTTCGGTCATGCCCTGGTTCTGAAGCTCGGCGCGGTCATACTCGGCCGCATAGGCCTCTTCATCCTCATCTTCCTCAGTAACCTCGCCCAAGTAGCCATGTCCCCGAGGTTGCCGGTCTCGCTTTTGCAGCTCTGAGTCCGGCCATTGCGCCCGGAGCTCAGCTGCCACATTCTGCAATTCATAGTTTCCTCGAAGAGCAGTTTGTACCAGGTTGCGCTCCTGAATCGAGAGGCCGGAATCCTGTAAAAGGAACCATCCCTGCAGAAACTGAGGTATCAATTCCGGCATGGCCGCCGGGGTGCTTGTCGCTTCGCTCTCAGAGGCCCACGCCGTCCGGGAATTCCACGACTGCCCCCAATCCCTGGAGTACCAATTGTCATAGCCATAGCCATAGTCTGACCAGTATTGGCCATACCACGACCTGTTAGGCCATGTAGTCGTCCAGGGACTTCCACCATCTTGGCCCTGTCCTGTAGTCTCTGCTGTGGGAGCCGCGGCTTGGCTTCCTTGCTCGACCTCATCATCGCCTGGCGTGGCCGTACTTTGCTCCTCGGCAGTGGTTGCAGAAGCAGCGGAGTCCCAGCTTCGACGTCGATCTCCCCAATTGTTCCACCCTGAAGTGGTGGGAGTGGCCACCGCCGTATCCCCTCGGGGTACCGAGGCGCCCTTCTGGTCTTGGGTGACTCTCAGCATAGCCTGCTGAGCTCTCACATAGGCCTCGCACTTCCTCGTCACATAGTCGTTGGCAGACTCGTGGGGCTTCCGTTTTGTTCCCCTGAAGTACTTCATGAGAAGTTCGGAGAGCTCGGGGAGCTGGGGACGCCCCAGCTTCTGACGTAGGAAGTTCATCAAGGCCCGTGCTCCTTCAGCATGGGCTCCCCATCCAGGATCTTGTCCAAGGACCAGCCGCTTTGCCGGCCCGGTGAGCTCCGCCTTCAACTTCGGTACGCACACATGTCGCTTGTGGTAAGCCTGGGTTTCAACCCAGAGAAGACTCTCCTCCTCGTAAGCTTGGAACAGAGATGGGTCCCCGTTCCACTGGGGCACTCCATCTTTACTCCGAGCAACACCATCACTTGTCATACTGGAAGAGGCGAACGTCTCCCAGTCCACCGCGCGAAGTGGCCCTGGATCTGCGGCTCAAAGAAAGTAGCTTCTGGAACCTGATAAATCAGGCTCCGCTACCATGAAAGTGTGGTAGCTCAAATGCTCC